CAGGCAGGCAGTTTTGCAGCCCACGGAGCCCTGCAGCCAGTGCCCCGCAAGCAGAGCCATGCTTTCCAGCACCCCCAGCCCCATGGCAAACCAGCCACTGCTGCTGTTCCGTCAGGGGTTTTGGCTTTGTACTCTGTGCTTGTCACCTTTAGTCATCTGGGTGAGGGGTCATTAATTATGGGACACAGTGGGCTCAGTGATTTCTAATCCAAAGTCACTTGTGTACAGCGATTCCCGTGACACTTCTGAATTGGGTATTTCAGGCCAGTGCAGAAAGGCACAGAACACTTCTTGGTCAAGTTACCAGCCTCAATCGACTCATCGCATCTCTGGGATGGTGGGGCCATACATCACTTTGTAAGGAAGGTGCTGCACTCACATCAGTCCTAACAGCTTGTGCAGCAGCGGCACGAGCACAGTAGCGCAGAAGCCAACTGAGGAGTACGTTATAAATTTATACGGCACTTCGACTTCCAGTCGTCTCCGGGCTTCCAGGTCGCCAATGGGAAACTTGTACCGATAACCCAGCATGCCAAGGACCACGCTCTTCACGAGCCAGCGCGTCAGTAGAACAACAAAGATCCCGACGAAGAACCTGGCTAGGACAACCACCACTATTTTACTGGTGATCACAGGAAATTCAAGCTGAAAATTTTCTCTGGTGTAGACTGGTGTGGCGTACTGGTTATCTAACCAAAATCCCACAGTTGCTCCAGCTCCTGCTCCTAAGATAGTAGTGGTGTCTGCCCTGGTAGGGCTGTAATAGTCTAGTTTGGGGTAGTTGTAACATAAGACAAGAGGGACAGCTATGGAAAGGAGTGGACAGAAGGGACTGGTCAACAGCAAGTGATCAATCATGTCCCACGCAGGATACAAGAGCACGAGCAGCACAGACGAAATCAGTGCTCCACCAATGACATCCTGCAAAAAGATCATGTTTAAAAGCTTCGTGAGACCTGAAAAGCAGAACAGAAATTCTCAGGTGATGATAAAAGACCAATATCTGCATTGGTGAGCACACAGCAGCCAAGGAACACCCTGAATTCACAGCGATGGCACTGTCCATGCACAGTGACAACCCAAAGCCCATGCAAAACAAAACGTGACAATCTGCAAACCCAGCCTTAGCCTTGTCCATGTGAATACATCTATCGACTCACATTTTCCCCAGAGCAAGTGAGATTCTTCCCCCCACCTGCTTTCACATTTTAAGGATGCTCTCCACCTACGACCTTGGTGGTAAAGGCACATGCACAACTCCATCTCGGGGATGATATCACAGTAGCTGCCTTCATACAAATCCTTCCTCTCCCATAATCCTACAAGTAATTTCATCATATCAGCAGGATTATCAGTTCTTTGCTTTGCATAAATGGGAAGATGCTGTCTTTTGTCAGAGACAAGCACCCAGTCCAGGCACCCAGGCTCCCGGGGAGAACCACACCGAGCTGCTGGACGTGGTGCCCATGCCGTGATCCCTGCTGACTGCAGCAAGAGGTAGGCACTGCCAGGCAGGAATACATCAAGGAGAAATTTGTTGCCCAAGCCTCTGAGACCCAGCTTGTAGTTAAGCGCCCGAGGCAAGCACATAGTTAAAACCTAATTTATTAACAGAGACAAATAAGGTGTTTTGAGAACTTGATTGTTGTCATCCACAAGGCTGGGAAGGGAGACGAGGTAATCCCTAACAAAAGCCGTCTGTATGAGAGCAGCCAGATAAAAAGTAATAGAACAAGTTTCCCTGTGGTGCTCTCCTGACGTTGCTGAGGAGGCAACAGAATCTGTATTCTGAGCATGAAATGCCCTGCAAAAGATAGAGTTAATCACAGGCAGAAATGTCCTCTTCTCAAGATCGTATCTTTTCCGCTGAGTCGTGACAGTTGACTACTATCACGCTTGATCACAGTCTAATATGAATTATTTATGAGAACTTCTTTTGTAGTTGGGCAGGAACGAGGGGACTTTTTCACAACAAAAACATTTAATGACTTTCTGGTAAATGCATTAGTCCAGTATGGCTGAACTTCAGCTGTTTACAACTTCCCAGCAATAGATTCACAGAACATTTGGTTTTAAGCAACGCCCAGAGCCATTTTGCATATTCCTAATGCAAATTTCCACTTACGTTTATTCCCTCATCCATGACATGAGGATAGCCATGGAAATACACAGAGTTGTTCCCAGATGTCTAATATGTAAAATACCATTAGTGTCAATATTTCACAACAGCAAAATAACCCATCTTTTGATAATGATTTTTAGATTATGACTTACACACAAGGACACGCTTTGGCCCTACACCGAGGAACTGCATCAACACAAAAGAGCTGGGGCTTGCTCCCAGCACCGATGCTTAGACATCCCATCACCACTGTGGACCTCCATCTCCCACCCTGCTATTTGTCCACCTCACATTAGAAGAAAAAGTCCTGACGTCTCAATACCCTCTCCACGTGTGATTAAGGACTGAAACTCGAAAGCTGTTCACGTGCTTTTCTGTTCCAATTAAAAACATTTAACCAAACATTAACGTTCCCTTAAAAAATGCTTTGCTTGAATTTCCCCAGCTGACTGCAGCAGTTCCCGGACGGGGCGCAGACAGCCCCTATTTATGGACCTGATTAAAGTTTTCTGAACTTTATTACCCTCCCATTCAGCCCCAGTACAGTGACACAGCTCCTGTAGTTTCCAAGCAGGACCCAGACAACCAGCTCTGCTCCCGAGCAGTGGCTTATACCAGCAGTCTCCAACGTGGGTGTGCAAGGCAACCCATCAGGCTGTGAGAAGAAAATACTTTTTGCACCACTAATAAGTAAAATAAAAAAATATATCTATTTTAAAAGTAGTGCTTATTTCATCCTTATCCTTTTTAATTTATATTTTTGTGTATGCTTCATAATGTATGTATCGGTACAGTAGTACATGTATATAATGCGTTAAAAGTAAATATACATATATTGGGGATGCATACTCAAAAATTTTTTACTGATAGATGTGCACAATCAAAAAAGTTTGGTGATCAGCGGTTTGTTCTGTTTTTCCCCCTGTCCACCAATATACAGGCTCCTCATTTTGGAAACTCTATCCTAGAAGCTGCTGGAGAGTGCAGGACGTACCCGGCCGCGGCCGTCCGTAGTGACTCCCTTCGGTTCGGGTGCACACAGGCAGAGGTTTGTTTTCTGAACACTCAGAAGAGGTGGACAAGACCAACACTTTATGAAGCCATTTAGCAGTGCGGAATTAATGATTTTCCCCCCTTGCCTGTTAAACTACGGAGAAGATGGGAAGAGGAGGGATTGCTCTGATTCCTGTGAGAAAAACTGCGTTTCCGGACTCTCCCTGCTGCGCACCCAGGAGTGGGACTTCAGCCTTTCCCAGTGCTAGCGAAGCTGTCAGCACTCCCAGGAAGCACATTCTTGCCCGTGTGCCTATGTAAGCAGATTAGCCTCTCGCCAAACCCGCAATTATAAAGGAATTTTTAAATGACGGCAGGCATGAATTTTGCTCAAGGTGCAGCATTACCAGCAAAGCTTAAAACTTCCCGTTTACCTGCTGGGATGCTCCTGCTCCCTCAGCACAGACAAGTCCTCCACAGTCTCCCATCCCTCCCAAAAAGCCCCCCCACCACCACCACACAGCTCAGCCCCGCTCCGGCACAGCCCCCCTGCCTCCACACCTGCCCAGCTTCCACCCGAGGGAGGCCGCTCCTGTCAATTTTAACCAGAAAGCTGTCATTTTGCTTTGCTACCTAAAGAACAGGCCAGTATCGGGTTTCCTGAAGTTATTTTTCCTGTGCTGCAGGTACATAAAGAAAAACAATTGACATAAAAATCCAGGTGTGTGCAATGCACGGGACACAGGACCGGGGTACTTCCTGCCCGGCACCAAGGGAGCACGGTGGCAGCACGGTCCGTGGGTCCTGGCACCCCTGCAGCCGTTCTCACACTGGGCTGCTTTGGTTTTGTTTCACAAGGTCTTGGAGTGAGATTTGTTCTAGGACTGCAAAATCATGTGGTCTGGCTTTGTGAAGGCAAGACCCTTCTCTGCTCTTCCCAATGAAATCACGATTGGAGGTGCAAACAGTCACAAAATGCCCCCAGAACATTGAACCAGCACCCCAAACATGGTGACGCTCAAGCATCTTCCCTGATGTTTCCAATCAAAACAAAAATAACACTTTTCCTATCCTGTCTTGTACATGGTCAGTTATTTCTTGAACTCCCTTCACGGTTTCATTTACAGTGTGAGGTGCTCCTCGCCGTCCTCAACAGAAATCTCGTTTGCTCTCCCCAACTACAGATTATCTGTTTCATCCTATGAGGACAGAGCGAAAAGTGATGCCAATACATTGTTTGTTCATCAGCTTTAAAATATTTCAGATAAATTCAGAGTTAATGGTGGTAAAACACCCAAGATACAGCACAGAGCACGGTGGGGACTAGAGAGTACCCTCTTCTGAGGGTGCTGTAATCAGCAGTAAATGCATCAACACTGCATCAGTATATCTCAGGGAAAAAAAGCCAATTTACTTTGTTTACAGAAACAACTTTCAGGTTTCTTTTTGGTCATAAAATGAGCTTTTGACTTCTCCCTTTGTCCTGCCACCAACACTGGCTGGCACAGAGCATTAGTATCTTTAACTCAGGGCAGCGCAAGTGGGACGCTGCCGTACTAGTAAGCCGGTCACCGGATGCATGGTGGCTCTGGAGCGGCCCACTGCCTCCCGAAGCCCCCACCGCAGGCTGGGGACAGGGGAGCGTGCACGGCAGGCAGGAGGAGACCCAGCTCTGCCGCCACAGCGAACACCAAACCCATTGGCTCAGCACAGTAAGAAATCCCCACTGCTGGCCCTGAAGGGTTAAAAGAAGGCCAAAAGCCTCCTGTACTCCCCCTGCTTTGGGGGCTGCCCTCAGATGATGACTTTCTTCCTGAGAGGATTTGCAACGATCTTGCTGGCATCCTTTAGGAATGCTGTGCACTCACACCGACACCCATCCTCATTGTTTCAAACCCAAGGTGACTCAGACACACTCCAGCAAAGGTGAGACAGAAACACTTGTTAATCTCACTGAGACAGGGAGCAAAAACTGGGCCAAACTTTTAAGATGGGGAGTAAAGAGATATTTTCTAAAATACAATTGTCTAGGGAAAAAAAAAAAACGACAACAGATCCCAGTCCTCGTGTCTCCAATAGCTTTTTGTTCCTTTTTCGCTTTGCCCTTTCCGGGTAGTTCTGGGTTCCCTCTTTGCCAGCTCCTCAGACTCCATCAGTTAAGACCTAAAAGGAAGGACCCTGCCTTTCCCCTGCTTCACCACAAACATGGGGTGTTCTTGTGTTACGGTGGTGAAAGTGAATCTGTTGTAAATAAATTCTCAGCAGTGCGAGTGTGTTGCTTCCATCCCTTTCTCTGGCTGGGTGACGCTCTCCTGGTGACAGCCCAGGCAATGGGTGTTTATTGCCTTTCCCCAAGCGTAGTTCTCATTCTGATATGCTGTATTGGTGCAGATAGCTCTCATACCAGCTCCGTGCATCTCCAGCAGGTCTTTAATTGTAACATCTCTTCTACTGACATGACCATGCTTTTTGAGGCTGCTCCAGATCCAAAAGCAATGCCAGCAACGCTGAAATAGACTGACTTATAGAGCTGAGCCCGCAGAAGATGAGCCCCTGCGCTGGAGTTTCAGCTACGGCTGCAGCAGAGCATGGTGCAACCACCTTGCCACCTCTTCTCAGGTTCCTCAAATGGGAAAAATTCAGTTACGCCAAGATGGTGGGTACGTGTTACGCATTCATTTGCTTTACTAAAATATTATGATCACTTAATATATAATTATATCCTATCGGTATTCATTTTCTATTAAGACCTCAGTTAATCCATGAGACAG